AAATTTGGCACAGATAAAGGTAAACCGAGAGAACTGTCCTTTTAGGTAAGATAATGGTTCACAGAGGACCCATCTCATATGTCAATATCCTATATAGGTTTTTTGAAAAATATTGGATAGGGTTGACCGGCCATTGTATTTTGCATTTCACTAGTTTTTATGTCATTTTAAATCTCTCTCTATCTAATATATCCCACTCCCCCACCCCGCACCCCCCATTATAACATTGACTCCCACATGACCCCTTTCTTTCTCTCTCTAATTGGGTCCATTAGGTTTCACACAACCTCTCTCTCTAACATCGCCCCATCAGGTCCCATCTCTTCCCCTAAAAATGACAAAAAAAATTAAAAACTAATATATTAAAATACTATAATAAAATAGTTTTATTTTCAAGAATGACATTGACATGTCAACAAATCACCTCATGGTTTTTTCTCACAAAATTATAAAAGCTTTTACACTGATCCACCCTTAAAACCATATCAATTAAAAATCAAGAGAAAAATGGTTTGAGGATAACAAGCAACGTTTTAACAAATAACTGAGAAATGAAACCGTTATGGCCATCGGTTTCTGGGTCAATGGTCCGACTGTTTGATTCGAACAAATGGCTCGTTCTGATAGCAAAATAAAAATAATTAAAAAATAAAAAAATGGTCAAAACCGTTGAACGGGTCGACGGTTTGTTGACTTTTTCAATGGTTTTTTACTAGATTCTGGGTTTTGGGTAAAACGGAACTGGTTGCCTAGACGATTTCCAGGTCGAACAGTCCGACTGTCTAGGTCAACGGCGGTTCGAAAACGCTGATATCAAGAGTCTAGATAGAGGCTATGGGGAAGGGAATAAATGATGTAAAAGAGAGAGAAAGGGAAGAGAGATGGCACCTCTCGATCTGGAGCCTATGAGGGGGTAGAACCAAGGGCTACAATATTTCGCACACGAATTGCTACAGTACTCACAGGATTGGATTCCATTTAGTAAAGGAAAATATTCCATTTAGCGAAAGGAGAGGGGTTGTGGAAGGGAAAAACAAGTCCGGATCTCCTGCCTATGAGAACTCTGCCTACGTTAATCGCAGCCACATATGGAAAACATCTCATCCTCTGCATAGTATTATGTAGGGGGAGATGTTCCCAATTCACGGGGAGTAATGTATTGTGGGTAGGAGTGGACAATGTTCTCATGGGCAGGAGATTCGGAGTCAGGAAAAACACCCCTTTTGCTTTAATATTAAAAGCAGTCCAACAAACAAAGCTGAATCTTCAATCAGTAGTCAAAAGCACCTAAATCAAAACTTCAGCTTTCCCAAACTGGTCCTCATTTTTCAAATGCAATCGCTCTATGAAATTGAACCAGAAAGAGCAAAAAAAGTGAAAATCTGTCCGGCTAAGCCATTCACCCTGTAACCGGGACAGCTTTCTAGTTTCTATGTTGATTGTTGGGTTCAATTTTTAAAAGAACATTGGATTTTAGGAAAAGAGGTGAATGTGAGTTTGGTAGATAGAATTTGTGATTCAATCTAAAAATACTCAAGCTATATTTGGTTGCAATGCAATTATATTTGCAAAAAGGGAAATATAAATGCATAGAAGTGCAAATGAAAAGAATACAAATTCTGGATTAATTTTGCACTACAATCATAAATTTTAAAACAAAAATAAATCAGAATTTGCACCCAAATCATTTCCATGAATACAAGTAAATTGCATGGCAATGAAACACAACCTTAGTTGCATTCTCTCCCCTCGAATTCCAGTTCAAGGATTAATTGGTGATTTCTGAATCACTCATCCCATCAATGTAGCAACCTCACTTCAAATAATGTACCTAATTGAAGAATCTAATGCACACTTGTACATGGTTCAATTGAATTGAGTTGAACTCAATCAATTAAGGGTCCTTTTGGTTTGTAGTCAGAATTGGAAATGGAATCGAAATCCTTCAGAATTGGAATCGGAATGGTTCATTCCCATAGTCTGTTTGGTTCAGACAGGAATGGGAATGGGAATTAAAATCAGCAGGAATGAGATTTCATTCCCAAGGGAAGGGCAGGAAATGACCATTCCCTCAAATGGGGGAATGCCATTCCAGCAGGAATGGGAATGGGATTCTGATTCCGTCCAACCAAACAATTAGAATCGGAATAGCCCATTCCAATTCTGATTCCAGACTCCTATTCCTGCAAACCAAACGGACCCAAAATTTGGTTGAATTGAGGGGATGTTGGGTATCGAAGCCATTTTTAACGGTGCCAGCTAGGTAGCACATAAGCGTTGTCGTTTATCAAGGCAAATTGTGTTGTTTGGTTGGGGCGTTTAATGAAAAAACACTAATAAACATCCATGCTTATATTTTCATGAACTAGCCATTGGAGGAAGCGGTAAAATTGGAGTTCGGATCTCCTGCCCACACAAACTCTGTCCACATAACATTGCAGACACACATGGAAAACATCTCATCCTCCTACCGTCCTACGTAGTATTATGCAGGGGGAGATGTTCCCAATTCACAAGGATAGTGTTTTGTGGGTAGACGTGGACAGGAGATTTGGAGTCATCAATTGTTGTTTAATTGGTGGGGGCACAAGCTGGTGTGAGAGGACACACGGCCACTTCTAACACTGTTATATTTATGCATAGGTGGCATAAACGCCCACACTACCAAACACCATCTTTAAAGTTGAATGTGTGTGTTTTTAGCGTGGGCATTTATCTTTGAAAAACATGTCGATAACGCCCATGCTACCAAACACTATGTAAGTTAGCAATTTGCGGGCCCCACAACACTTAATCTCTCCATTACAGAATCCCACAAAAAGGAGTAATTCTGGTTCTACTGGTTAGTTATAGTTGTCTCCAAAGTCTTGTGGCTTCGTTCTCTCTTCTCTAAGTTGCGCATTGTGATGCCAAACCCACCAAACAAAGTGAATCCTATCTTCCATGTACGTACATAGCACATTGAAATTGATTTCCATTTTGCTCGCAAACAACTCCAAGTTCACTACATTGCCGCAACTGATTAGTCAGCTTACATTTTCACCAAGGCTCTCTCTTCTCAGTTCTAGCTACTACGATTCAAGTTGAGCGTTGTCTCACCACCATCAACTTGAGGGGGACTGTTAGAGCATTTGGTTACCCATAGGGATGGAAACGAATCAAGTTTTTCATAAGTTATTCGAATTTGGCTCGTGAAAAACTCAATTTAGTTCAGTCCAAAATGAGCTTAGAGCCGAATTTGAGCCCTGTGTATAGGCTCGTTTGCTAATTGAGCTTGACTCAAGAGGCTTCCGAGCCTAATCAAGCTTATACATACATACATAAACTAAAAATATTATATATAATATTTTTATTTTTTATATGTATAATAATAACTAGTTTTTATATGTAAAATAAAAAATAATAATTTTTATATGTATAATTTTTTTTATACGAAGCATGGCTCATAGTCGAACTCGAGGTTATGAGCTTTTGAGTCGAGCTGAGCTCGAGATCAACTCTCTAACTCAAATTTGAGGCTCATAGTTTTCTAGTGAACAAGCTCAAATAACTAAATATTCGGCTTGGCTCGGCCCGACTCAAATCCACCCCTAGTTCCCTAGTATTTGAGATAAGGGCAAGCCCTTTCACTATTGCAACTGTTATGATTATCTCTTATATATATATATATATATTATCTTTATTTTTATCTATAATTATCATGTACATATACAACCTGTATATATACTATACAGAGATCGTGATACAAAATACAAGTTGAGAATTAATCATCCTCTTCAAGTTCTTTCATAACACAATCATCAGGTTGGTTTTGACAATATAAGTTTCCAAACTAAGGAAAACGGATATTTTAGAATATAACTAAGGGCTGAGATGATTTGGTTTGTATCGGATTAGCTATCGAAAACGTGTGACGAATGTTCTTGAGGGTAACAGATCTAAGTGCATATACAAGCATCGGGACTTATTGCATGGAAGGTTGTGTATTGGGTTACATTTACAATAGGTTTGAGTGTAGACCTGTTCATAGGCCGCCAGCCCAGCCTGGCCCCCTGACGGGCTTGAATATACATTTGAGCCCGCGGATTTGACCTCGGGCCAAAAAGCTCGGCTCACAATAAATTCTAGCTAGGCTTGGGATTTGTTAAAATAGCCTGACTCGGCCCGACCTATAGATTAAACCCAAAAACCCTAATATTCTAACTCCTAAGTAATCCCTCTTTCTCATTCATCTCTTTTAAGTTAGTCGAACTTCCGAACCTCTCTTTTCTTTACAGTGACTCACATCACATCCTCACACTCTCAGGCAGCCACAGAACCGGCGAACACTCACTGGCGCAACCAGTAAACTCCGACAGATCGGCGATGAGTCTTCTCTCTCTCTCTCTCTCACAGACGCGAACTGACTTCACTTTTCATTGTCAAAATCTCAGCTTACCGGCGAACTCAGCACCGGTGAACACAGCCACCGGCGGTGAATCCTCTGTTAGGACAGGCTTCGGTCTCAAGTTTTTTATCAGGTCCGGGCTCGGATTCGGGCCTAACAAAACCATGTTTATGAAGACCATGAAGAGGTCTATTTGAGTGTCGTTCTTGTGCATTGTACATCCAAGCGCCTAGCCATGTGTCAGGATTTACTACCACAAATTTTGACTACCAGGCTATCTAACCCAACTGCCCATGACAAGAGGAAAAATCTCTAACACCCAAAACTATTTTACAACTCATGTGCAAGGCACTCCTCATGCTTCGGAGGACTTGTTTCATAAATTTACTCTCTTCCACTACTTTGTGTCTCATCAAGAAGGAAATTCCTTTCTGTTTTAAAAAACAATCAATAATAGACCGAAAATCAATGCATGAAATTTTCTATTGACTCTCGCCCTCTTTCTCTATGTATCTCTATATCTCTATGTGATGCTATAAAAGAGAGTCTGTCCCTTGCCCTCTCCATCATTGAATTATCTATCTATCATAAAGAAAACAACATAGCCGAAAACATGAAAAGCACCACCGCCGGTTGTATTCTGATGAAATATATGATATTTTTGGTGTTGATTGTCCTTCCAATAGGAGGTGACTCTCTTGATGCTGCCTTAGCTGACGCTGAAAAAAGCAAAAAAGTGATCAAGGTTAACCTGGACGGCAGCGGCGAGTTCAAGACGGTGACGGATGCCCTCAAAAGCATTCCTACGGATAATAAAGAGCGTGTTGTCATTTCGATAGGACCGGGGGAGTATGTAGAGAAGATCACAGTGGACAAGCCATTCATCACCTTCTACGGGTCGCCCCAGAACATGCCCACCTTGTCCTTCGGCGGTACGGCTCATGAGTATGGCACCGTCGATAGTGCTTCCGTAATGGTGCTGGCTGACTACTTTGTGGCCGCCAATATCATCATGAAGGTTTTGTCCATCTTCTTGTCTGTATGATTATATAGAGTACATATACGTTTCTAACCCACCATGTGTATTCTTTTTAATTTTCCCTCTCATATCGTTTCAGAATTCGGCTCCAATACCCACCGGCCAATTTAGATTCAACGGAGGTCAGGCAGTGGCAATGAGAGTCTCCGGGGACAAGGCGGCGTTTTATAACTGCAGGTTCATCGGCTTTCAAGACACATTGTTGGCTTACAAGGGCAGGCACTACTTCAAGGATTGCTACGTTGAAGGGACAGTGGATTTCGTCTTCGGTGGTGGAAAAACTCTGTTTATGGTACTGTGTGTTTGTGTTTGTCTATATCTGTATGGGTTGTGATAATTAATGAACCATAGAGAAAGAATTTGTATATATAAACAACTTCCTTTGTGTGGTTGCAGAACACTGAGATACGCTCGATATCAAATGAGCTTGTAATGATCGTGGCACAAGCGAGAAAGAATGCAAGTGAAGATAATGGCTTCTCTTTCGTTCATTGCAAGGTTACAGGAACCGGAGACATCTATTTAGGGCGGCCATGGTTTCCTTACGGAAGGATTATCTTCGCCTTCACTGATATGTGCGCCCAAGTCAATCCTTTAGGCTGGCATGAAGGAGCATTTCCCACAACGTATGCAACCAATGTCTTAGTTGAATCTAAATGTCGCAACAATAATTCAATTTCACTATTTGTTTATGCATCAACTCTAAACTATTAATTCGGATCATTAATTCTAAATTTTTGTTATCATGTTGCAGCAATGTTTACTTCGTTGAGTATAAGAACACAGGACCAGGATCAAACACAGATAAGCGTCCAGCATGGGTGAAAACAAAGCTAAGTGATGCAGAAGTCCAACCTTTCTTGAGCACGGGATTCATTAATGGCGATGATTGGCTTACCCCTCCTCCAAGTTTGTAAACCAATCCATCCATGGTCGTCACACCATTCTTTTCTAGAATTTTGACCTCAATTTTCCACTTTGTTCTTCTATCTCCATTGGTTCAAAGTGCAAGGAGAGGTGTGCTTACCTATGTTTGCAAATGCACACCCCCTTGTTTTCAATTGTACTTACTAATAATGAATAGGTTTCCTTATTGTATTTTTTGATGAGGTTTATTGAGACATATGGCTAGACATATGTTTCAAGACCCATCTCTATTTGTTTAAAATAAAGAGTTTCATATGTTTTATATAGTAGAAAAAATCCATGTGTGTCTTCAAAATTCAATTCTTTAGTAATATTATCATTAGTTCCAAAAACACACAAGGAGAAATCTTATTATATATAAATGAAACACTATCATCACCCGGCCGATTATATGGAACATATGCATGCAATGTAAGGAAAGAGTATTTGATCACCCCAAAACCCATGGGTATCCCAATTGCAAGCAATTAATAGATAAGGTTGTGTTTGATTGCAGTGCAATTTTATTTGCACTAATACAAATGCACGAGTGCAAATGAAAATAATGCAAATTGTTGTTTAATTTTGTTTTGGGTTCTACTTTACTCTGCTTCATTTCTTAATTTATTTCATTTGTATTACAATTAAACAAAATAAGTTAAAATTTAAAACAAAAATATATCAGAATTTACACTCAAATCATTTGCACTATCATAGTTTTGCATCAGTGTAAATTTATTTTCGTTGCAACTAAATACAGCCTGAGGCTCAATTTGGAAAGAGTACAAATACAAATTTGTAGAGTGCAAAACCTTGTATTTTGTATGCATTTGCATTGTACATATTTGTATTTGTACCCCTTCCAAACTGAGCCTAAGGAATCCCTAATTACAATTCCTTTTTCATGGGATTCAAATATCTACATGAACCTTTGGGCTATCTTCTTTGGGTTTTTTTTTTCATATTATTCATTTCCGGTCTCCATTCTTAAGAAAAATAATAACTTATATGGGTTTATGTTGTCACCAGTTTCTCGTACATGATCTTTTCAATAAAGAGTAATTTGTTAAAAAATAATTTAGTACTTTGGATTAGTTATATTAATAATTTTTAATAAAAATAATAAATTATTGCTAATTACTTAATAAAATAATTAAATAAAAGATCTCAAACCAAATTTTGATGGGGTATTAACAATTTTTAAGGTTGTCTGACCCAACCTAACCCACACCTCAAGCATAATAATATTTGTTTGTGCCTAGGATAGGGGCAGGCTTACCTATCTTAAATATAAAACTATAAATTTTTTTAAAATTAAAAAAATTATTTAATTTTAGTCTATTCTCTCACTATATATATATATATATATATATATATATCTTTCTATCTATCTATAATTATATATATAACTTCCTCATTGAGATTAGGGGTTGCTTAGCTTGGGCCCTATCCACTAGGGTTGTCATTAGAGTTTGAAAGTCTAATGCCCGATTAGACTTTGATATGATTATCACAAATTTGAATGTTAGAACTTGCATCCAATTAATAATTGGATTGGATGTGGATTTAATCTCATTTAATAAAAAATATTATTTTATTATCAGAAAATATTGTTTTATGTATATAAAATATAATTATGTATACATATAGATATTCCCTAGGAGGATGTTTTGATTCTAATTTTCTTATGTTTGGCAAAGGAAAATGACCAAACCTAAACCAAATTGATATCTAGATGGCTAAAAGTTTTCTGCGCAATTTGTGATGTACTTGATTTTTTATTTATGAAATGCATAAGCTATCTTGTACTGATAAGAGTGCAAACAATTGAGATTAGTAGGGCTGTCAATGGGTTAGGTCTAGGTCGGGTCTAGGTAGAACCGGTTCCTAACCAATTATTGATGGGACAAAATCACAGACCCAAAACTATCCTAGTTATTAGTTGGGTCTATTGGGTCCAGACCCGATAGGTTCGATTATACTGAAAACTATATTGTTTATTTAAAGAATAACATAAAATTTAAAATTTGATAATATAACCTTAGTAAAAACGATCAAAAATTACTAAGTTATCTGTATATTAATAAATTATATGTTTTATTATCTTATTTATTATTTATTAAATATATCATTTCAAACATAAAATATGATAATATATATATATAATAAAAAATCGGATCCAAATGTAAACCGATTCGAGGCATCCAATAACAAACTGACCCAATTATTAATCGAGACAAAATGGTTTGGGTATGCCAGCTAGACCTGGCCCATTAGCAGTCATAGTTGGAACGTGTTTGGTATACTTTTTGGTTTGTGAGTAGATCCCGACTCGTTATTGGTTTCATTTTCCTGTGTCTCATTCCCTGCCCATATCTGCTGCCTTCTTCCATGTAGACATGACTAAAGGAAATCTGCTCAAATTGACTTGTAATGGTCTGATACTGTTGATGGTACCTCACTCCTCAGCCCTCAAAGCTTCATCGAATCTCTGACCTCACGGACATCAACTATAATGCAATTAATTATGAATTCTCAATACACGGTTGGAATGTGTTTAAATTGTGAGGCGCTCGCTTGTGAGGCACTGATGTCATTAATTATAAAAGCTGATAGTGTAGATGGCATTAACTATTAAATCATTAAAAGGGTGGTAGTTCACCATATTGCTGACATGACTACGATCAGTCCGGATGATAATGGTTGAAACCCTTGCGTACAGGTGGGAGATGCCACCATGGCCCCACGAAGAAGTCTGAATCTGCTGACTATAATTAATACATTGTTGGTAATCATATACATTAGGAATATATCGACGATGTAAATTATAACCACTATTCTCAATGTGCAATGAATGTGACTATTACATTCAAACTTCCCATGAAGTGCCTTTTTAAGAGGGATTTAGGGATGTAACTTCTGACATTTTAAATTTAGTTCTATACGAGAACACTAGAAGTTAGGGGTGCAAGTTGAGCAGGTTGGATTGGGTTTATAATTAATTCAGACCTAATTCTAAAATTTGGGTTTAAGACTTAAGTTTGAGGTAAAGCCCAACATTTTCAATCTAAGCCCAGCCCATATTGTAATTTAATGCATTTGGATTGGATTCGGGTTGGTCAATGAATGTATGTATGTATGTATGCAAAATTTATATACATATACATATGTATGTATGGATGTATATAGTTGGTCCAGGCTTGAGTCAGATTCAGGCTACTTAAGGGCTAAGTCCAAACTCGGCCCGAAAAATAAAAAAGCTCGACTTCTTAGGCCTGAGCCCAACCCAAAGACCGAAAATCCAAACCTAACCCGTGTAAAATTTCCGATTAGGCTGGTTCGAACTTGGACTAGGCCTGCCCAAGTTGCACTCCTACTACAAGCTGCATTTGATGAAAATCTGAAAAGCATATCATTGTCTTCCAGTTCCAGATGCGAGAAATAAGACAGAAGCTAATGTAGGTAGGTAGCTTTTAAAAAACACAAGTGCTCCAACCATCACTGTTGCCATCCAACTCATCTCTACACAGAAGCTGTACCAAACAGGGTCTAAATAGGATGGTTGGCCATTCACCGTGGATAGGACCAAGAGCACTCCTCCTAACCCTACCGGATAAATCTTCATGAAATCTCCTAGCCCTTCACAGTGATTCTGCTTTAATGGAACAATATTATGGTTTACAAAAATATAAAAAATTTTGATACCAAAACAAATTTGTTCATGTTTTTATTTGGAATGGAATTTTTAGGTTGTCTAAGCCTCTAAGTAGGAGTGTCAATGGATCCACTCCAATCCAAAATCAATTTCGACGGATTGAAACAGACCAATAAGACATATTGAATTGGACCAATCCAGATTTGATGGTCCAAAGTATTTATTGGATTGGATTGGACCTGGTCCATCCATAATGAATTATATTGGATTGGGTTGGATTGAGCTAATATCTGGTCTATTGATAAAATATAAGAATATAGGTGTCAATGGACTGGGTTTGGATTAGAACTAATCTAAATTAAAACAAATTTGAATAGATTGGAAGGTCCAGACATTGAATTGGACCAATCCAAAATGGTCCAAAATATTTATTGGATTGGATTGAAACTGATCCATTTATAATGGACTTACATTGGACTGGATTGGATTGGACCAAATCCCTACCTCTAAAGGAATTTTTTGAATAGAATATTTGGAATATATTTTGAGAATCGTAGAGAGGATTCTCATGAGATAACCGGGATTTCAGTTGGTATTCCAGCTTTTCAAGATTATTTATTTCAGATTTTTAAACATCGAACATGTCATGTTGAAGGAATAATGTCTGGGACTGTGTGTTCAAAAGGGGTACCACCATTGTTGGAACTTGGAAGAACATGTTGGACCCGGCTGTGTGCTACATTCTTGGCCCTAAGGTCCCCAATCATACTATTGTCTTGGCTTATCATATGCCAAGTATATTATATTCTTACAAAGGCTATTAGAGAGAGTGAGAGTGATGGGGAAGATGGAGCTAAATGTGTGGATATCCAAGCAAAAACTTTATAGCATTTAACTGTACATTGGAAATGTTTTTTTATACATTTATTTTAAATTTATGGAGAGATATTCTCAATATATGATGGGATTTTCATGTTTATACGTTGTACAGGATTATTGTTTGGAGAGAATCCCATTACATTGAACACAATCGGAAGTGGGGATTCCAAGCACCTTAGACTATGGCTGTAATTGGGTAGGTTTGGATCATATTCAACTACGATTGTATTCAATCATCATCGTCATCTAAGCCTTGTCTCAATTAGACCTATTTATAGGTTGGGCTAAGCTTTGCTTCTATATCAATAGAACACAATCAAGTCTGAGCCCAAGTTTGGCCAGACCATTGGACCTTGATTTTGAACTTGAACCCAACCCTTATGTAAAGTCTAAAGCTCGAGCCTGAAAAAGATTGAGAAAAAATACTTTTTTATTTAGTAATAAAATTGATTTATTTATATTAATGACCTCAAACTGAATAATACTAAAAGATTTTACTATGGCTTGAGAATAGTGAAGATGAACGAAAAAAACATATATT